GTGTTTCTTTTAGGCCTTGAACACTCTGCTGATTGAACATTTATGATGCGAATAACTGCTACACACACAATCTATGGCTACTACTCATGCTTGTGTGCCTCTTTCAGCAGTTCTCAGCCACAGCACTGCCACATTTCTGGCCATGCTGTGGCATATTCGACCCATTAAGTTACCCTCCTACCTCTTCAGTGGAGAGATTCAACACCCTGTGCGTGTAGCTGCAAAGGTGCTTGTGCTGAGATGCTGGAGTATGTTATGCCATATGTGCAGCAATGGGTGAGAAACTTTCTCAGGCAAGGATTTTTTAGTGTATTTACCTACTTCACACTTCCTGAGTGTTTCACCAAGCCAAGGCAATTTTCTACTGAAATCTGCCATTTTAGAGGATTTGCAATACAGCTTGTCTTGAGGAAATCATGTATTTAAAAATAACATATTAGGGGAAAGTGTACACAGAATGCATATATTTATGCATTTTTTGTGAGCCGCCCCGAGGCTTTGTTGCGATGGGGGCGGCATAGAAATGTTCTAATAAATAAACAAATAAATTTAAGGAAAGCACATAGAAAATTGCATTGTAGCAATATAAAATGCTGATAAAAGCCCATGCATATAAATAATGTGCACAAATAAAGGAGGGAAAGTAGCATGGAAAAGCGCAAATATCTTTCCTTGCTTTTAGAAAATTGCAAGCTAATACAGAAACAGGGTGGAACCAGCTTGACCTTAAAAATCCAACAATCTTGGTGAGGCCAAAAGTGACAGATCCATCAATTCCTAACATTTTGGCATCTCTTTAGTACAACTGTTGAGTACTGGTTCAGCTGCTGATGAGCAGTACAATCAAATGTGTGCAGGCTTCCTTCAGTCATTCCACTCAGATTATGGCCCAGGAAGAGTACTAGGTACTAACAGAATTTCAAATGTGCACAAAATTCGAATATACTCATTGATATGTACAATATGCAAATTCAGATCAGCTTGCTGTGATACATTGCATATATTGGCAAGAACCGCTGTGTATATGTAAAAACTAGAATCTCTCCCTCCCTCTCTCCCTCTCTCTCATGCGTAGGTGTGGGCTTTTCTGGCCTCTCCTCTGTGCTCCATCCCATCCTTGAGCAAGGTAGCTCAGTGATGCAGTTAAGTGATTATACTCTGTACATAATGCCTTTACAGGGGCCCATTCCGTCCCCTGCCTTTAGATGTTACTGTTAATTTTGTCATTTTCTTCAGAGAGGAGGCATTTCCCATCCTTCTATCCCATGGTTTACTACTGCTATCGCCATGATATGCTAAAGTAAAATAAAGAAAGAAAATTTGCCAAGCCTGAAAAATTAAAACCAGGCTGATTCTTGCTGGAGACATAATGCAATATGCAAAAAACAGAAAAGAAGACAGTTTTTTTCGGCCTTAAAACATAATGCAAGGTATTCTATTTATTAACAGGGATTTAACTTCCTGTTTCCTGCCTCCTCTCCTACTTCAGGGTCTTGCTAAATGATGAAGAGGGGCAGCAGCCCCGCATGGCACACAGTTACTTTTCTCAAATTCCTACTGCACTTTAAAACTGAAACCATGTGGCAAAGCTGCTGATTTGAAAGTGGCACTGAGAGGAAGCAGGAAGAGATCCAAGTCCTTTCCCATTTCTTCCCAGCTCTGTTTTAAAAAAATAGTGACAACAGGAGGGCTGTGACTGAAATCCTTGCCAAAACTATCACTTGGCTTTGTGGGTCAGAACCTGAAGTGTACCTTCCTTCATTCATTTATTACATTTCTCTACCAGCCAATAGCCAAAAGTCTCTGGAAGGTTTACAAAGATTAAAATCATTTAAAATGTATCATTTTAAATAAACTATTTACATACAAATATAGAAGCAGCCAACATACCTATTTACACAAGTGAAAGATGAGGTACACATTCTTAAATGAATAAATGGACATTAATGCAAATGCACTGTGTACATGCTCAGGTTTCTGCTTTCTGTTGTTCACTTCTTCCAGACACAGATATTAAAAATAAGTTTTCTGTTGTGAAAAGTAAGTTTTCTTATGTGCCCTAAGTCGTCTCTGAATTATCGTGACCCTGTGAATGAAAGCCCTCCAAAATGTGCTATCCATGACATCCATGCTTAGTTTTTCTAAGTTTTAGACTCTGGCTTCCTTTATGGAGTCGATCCATCCCTTCGCTGGTCTTCCTTTTCCTCTGCCTTCGGCTTTTCCTAGTATGACTGTCTTCTGTGGGGAGTCTTCTCCAATGTCCAAAGTATAACAGCCTCATTTTTTTTTCATACGTAACTTCTGGGGAAAGTCCTGGCTTGATAAGATTGACAACCCCCTTTCCATCAGTCCAGGGCATTCACAAAGCGGTCCTCCAGTGCAATGTTTAGATCACATCAATTTTCTTTCTGCCAGCTTTCTTCGCAGTCCAGTTTTCACACCCAGCTCTTGAACAGAACCTGCTGTTCTGGTATTATTATCAGAGCACCTCAGGTGATACCTCCTCTGTCTCTCTTGTTCTTGAATTGTTCATTTAACTAATTAATTTTATATACCACAACCAATAGCCCAGTTTAGGGCTTTCTGGGTAGTTATCAGAGTTATCTTATCAAACCATAAAGGCTTGTTTAGGCCATAGTCTTGCCTTGGGCTGTGGAAGACAAAGAGCAAGGTATTTTCCTCCTCTCCTTGCATTTTAAAGTCCATTCCAAGTGGTGGCTTGGCAAGAAATTGGCAGCTGTCTGGGCAGCCATCCTTGATTCAATCCATAGCTGGGGTGAAAGGAAATGGAAAGCCACAGCATTTCTTTTGCTCCCTCTGGAGTTCTGTTGTTGGAAGAAGAAGAAAAAACAGTTGCATGTCTGAGGAAGGGGAAACTGAGGAGAAGCTCCACCTCTGCATCCCAAGAAACCTACTCCATGTGCATTTTTCTACAGTAGCATTGGTGGCAGTTGGCAGGAAGATGGAGCTGTCACCACTGCCAGGAGAATCGGGCCAGAAGGAGCCACTGCTGAGTAAGAAAAAGATCGGGGAGAGACTGTGGTGGGCAATGGCAGCTGGAATCCTGGCCTCATTGGTACTCTGAAAGAAGGGCAGAACAGCACCCCTTCCTGCTCTTTTGCAGCTGCCTCCTGTTATTGTTTCTGTTCCTCCTTCCCACCATCCCAGCCCTGATGACACACAGCTGCCAGTACCAGTGAAAAGAAGCACAAGCAGTGGAGCCAACTGTGCCATTATGGAAAGAACTAAAAACCATAATTGTGCCACTGGCCAGGCTCGGCATTCAAGGCTGTGAGAAAAACATCTGAAGCTCCTTGGCCAATAGCTAGAAACATCTGTGGGGTCTGTCTAAGAAGTTGTTCCAAGGAATGCCGCTTGCCCTAATGTTGCAGATGTGACTTAGAAGCATTTTGTGTATTGAATATGGTAAGGAAAAATTTCCCAATAATTCAGAAGGGGCATAGCGTTGTTTACATCTTACACAGTCATAACATACTCATGTTCTAAGTGTCAGTCCTTATGTAGCCAAAATGAAACTTCATGCATGAAAAGAAAGTACAGGGCTTTTTGCAGGAATACAAAAAAGGGAGATTTAGAAGAAGGTCTGGCTGTCCTTGCCACATCACCGTGTTGGGAGGAATGAAGTAGAAAACCGGATGAAGGTGAAACAGTGACCTAGAAAGGGGTATGGATGGCTGGTAGGAAAACTGCACAGTTAAGAACTTTGTGGCAGGTCCCACCTGCTTCCCTGTATTTTGATGAATGACTTGCCTCCAAATACTGAGAAACTGCCCAGGTGCTGTGATCCACATTATTATTCCATATCCCACTACCACGCAGGTGTAGGAATGCTATTTCAGCTGTGACAGGCCTTTTCAGTTGTGTTGGCAAACTTGTCAAATGTCTTCCTGAAGAAGACCCACCTGTTCTAATATTTCTTGAGGACTTTTAAATCATGCTTCTGAAATTAATCTATGATCTTCTCCTCTTGTGATTTGCATGCTCTTGTGAGTTGTAGGATTGGTTTTGATCAGATGGTGTGTTTTATTCTATTGTTACCTGGTTGGAGCATCTCCAAATAAAAAGTATGGGTTGTATTGTTTGAAATAAATGAATGCATATTGTTTATTATTTTGATGGCAGGTGTAAAATAATCTCTTCTCCCAAAATAGCACTTGTTTTTGTTTTATGCTGAAGCAAATATTGCAAATGTTGTGCTCCACACTGTTGGCCTTCTTTGGTTAAAAGGCTGCATTCTTGTAGCAGTTTCTATTCCAAGATCTCAAGCCATCTTAAAAATATTAATGACAATTCTTGTGCAGTTGGATGCTCTATGGGAATAATTAAACTATAACTTTACCAGCTGCTTTGAAAATATGCTTCTTATATCTCATAAATTATAATTGGAAGAGAACTTCATTAATTTTTAGTTAATTGGGGTAAAGGTTTATGAGCATCCTAAGTCTTTGCAATGAAAAATGAAAGTTAAAGGAAATACTTTCTTCTACATTGTCCTTGAGAGTATTTTGTATAGATTCTGGCTTACAAAGTGCCAAGCATTGTTGAGATATTTATGGACAGCTTGAGATCACTGATCACCTAGTAAGGTGAAGAAGAAAGCCATAGTGCCTAGTATATTATAGTCTTTGTATTATGACTTTATACAAAATGAAGCAAAAAACCTGGACAGAATAAATTAAATTGGCTTAAATCCACAGGCTTGGGATCAAACTTTAATCTGCTACTTCATACTGCAATGAAGCTATTAACAGTGACATCTCAAATTGTCTAATCATGGAAATTAGTTCCTTATATAAAGCATTAATCATTTTAATTCAGAAGATCATCCCAAATGAAGTGAATACTATGTTGATTGTACAGATTTAACAGGAAAGAACTTAATTACTTTCTCTTTTTCTCCCTCCACCCTTCTCTCTTTATCCATCTGATCTATTTTTCATTTGCCTCTGGACCATTTTAATCTCTTCCATCATTTAAAGATGTTCCAGCGGATTTGATCGTCACAGACAGGACTGGGTTGACAATGGCTGCCCTGAAGAGGTAACATCCAGACACCATATATTTATTATAATTGTGTGCATGATTAGGACCTTTACAAAGACATCTGAGGCTATGGCCTGAAATAAGTTTTCCCCACTGAACTGATCATCAGTATCGAAAGGGGATTTTCTAGAACCAGTTCCTGCCCTCCCCCAGTGCTGACGGCTGAACATCTGATCAGTTGGTAGTGCTGCAAACTCTTTGAAGAGGAGACAGTTCTATTTCCATGTTTTCTAGCAGCACTTTTTGTACACAAACATTAAAGCCAGAAGTGTTACCCCATGCTGTCTTTCTGTATAGACTGACCTTGTTGTTTTGGGATGCATTTTACAATTCTCTGTAAATGTTACATGAAATAACAAAGATCAAGCAATTTAACATTTGTTTATCTTATTTAGTACTACATCTTGTGTAAATATTGTTAGGTATTTCAGAATTTGGATATTAAAAAATCAATGATTGGTAGAAAAAGCCCTAACCTGTCTTCTATGACTTAATTAAAATTTTCAGGGTTTAATACCAGTTAGTGCCCACAGGGAATCAGCCCTGGAATCCATGTGTAATGCCAGATCTCAGCTATTTCAGTGCTGCTTGAAAAAAAGAAAACACAGCAGAAAGTATTCTTTCTTTATTTTTTCTCTCTTTTGGTCTTGATTTAAGGTTTTCATTTTCGTTCCCTTCCGTCTGACATTTTGTGCTTGCTTTAGATGTCTGTAGTTCCGAAACAAATGGCCTCCATTGAGAACCAATTTTCTTCTTTCTTGTTTATGTGTTTTTCCCCCACCCTGTAGTCTAAAGATAAGATTTGTGAGAAGAATATAGACACCACTCAAATGCCTCCTCATACCACCATCGCTGTACAGCAAACTACAATGAGATCCAGAGCTTTAACAACAACCAAAGGATCCACAACATCTCATCTGCCAACGAGCCTACCCACAGAAGGTAACTGGGATGGTCAGTGTAATAGGATGTAAATGTAACTTGTGTAACCATTTTAGGCACATTTCACATAAGGTTTGCTCATTTGTGAAAAGTAATTCTTGAATGATGTTTGTAATCCAAATACATTGTAGACCAAAAGACAGTGTATGTGTGTGTCCCACCATGAAAGAAAGAAAGAAATCTGTAGCTCCTAAGGAAATTTGCATTAAACTTAGACCTTTTTGCGCTGATGATACTATTTAACTACATTACAAATAGGAACAAGAGGTCCCTACAAAGCTGAAATGCTAAATTATAAACTTAAGTTGCCTTGATTTGGATATTAGAACTGGATCCAGTATTAAGTATATGCAGCTGGGTTGGTGGAAGCAAACTTCCTTGCCCCTTCCTCCTCACATAAGTCCTCCAGGCCCTTGCAATTTCTCTCTGCAGGTAGACAGTTTGAATAAAACACATTTATTTTATTTGAATTAAGAAACTTTAAATAGGTAAAATTCACCACAGCTCTTATATTCATGAGATGATAGCCGACTTTGTCTATTCATTTATTTATTTATTATTTATTTATTTTTCGATTTATATCCTGCCTTTTCCTACAAAGGGCTCAAGGCAGCTTACATCATTCTCCTCCTTCATCTTATCCGCACAACAACAACCCTGTGAGGTAGGTTGGGCTGAGAGTCTGTGACTGGCCCAAAGTCACCCAGTTGGCTGAGTGGGGACTAGAACCCAGATCGTCTGAGTCCCAGGCCCATGCTCTTAACCACTACACCACACTGGCTCTTTATTTGGTTGGTTGGTTGTATATTGCTGATCATATTTACATTTCTAAATATTTTACAAAAGAAATGCATTAAGACACATTAACAGGGCGATCCTGTGGCTTTTCAGATGACACCAGACTCAGCTAGGGCAGAAATCTTGCCACAGATTTTTTTTCCATCGTCTGCCACCTTCTGCAGAAGAGGCCAGTAAGGGTAAAAAGAGGTCATCCAGTGGGGGAGGGAGACAGAGAGGTGTTGATCTGCAAGTTCCATGAGGATCTCTGTCTCCTGCTCCAAGGTGGACTGGATGGGCCTGGCCAGCAATAAAGAGCAATGTTGAGGATGGAAGTGCTCTCAAACCTTCTCCTGCAGCTCTCATTCTGCCTGGCTCTGGGAAGTGGTGTGTAAGTTAGAGGGCTCTGAAACTAGCTAAGAGTCTCTAGAGCATTTGCCTATAGAGCAGCCTTCCCCACTCTTGTGCTCTCCAGATGTGTTGGAAGCATAACATCCTTCAGTCCCAGCCACATCATGTTGGACAGGGCTGCTGTACAGCATCAGTCATATAAAATACATTAAAATAAATCAATTATAAAATCATTTAAAGCAAATACCCATTATACCATTAGGAATAAACAATTAACAATTCCCCTTGTTCCTGCTTCGTTTTTTTTATCCTAGCTCCGCATTTTTTTGTTTGTTAGAAGGAAATACTAAATGTTCTTTGATAGATGATAAACGGCACATTAAGGCTATTTTAGTGATAGAGGAAGAAGTTTATGCTAGGCTGTGGCAAGAAGTTTTGTACTTATATTGTGATCAGTTGTGGCAAAGGAGCCTATCAACAGCATTTTAGGATACACAGAGAACACAACAGTGTGACTTCACAGTCCTCCCCCCGCCGCTGAAAGATGATGCTAAGCAGAAGCCTCCAGTTGCACTGTTGTTCAGTGCAGCAGTTGTAGAAAGTTTAGGAGTTGTCAGTTCAGGCTTTTGAGGTCTCACTCTATATATGCCTCTGCTGCTAATGCCTCACTAGCTCCTGACTTGAAAGGTAGTAGCAGAGATTTGGAAAAAAGTGAGAGTTTAAAATGAGTAGCATATTCTGAAAAGGAAGACCAAATCAGAGACAGGTTGACTCTATCAAGGAAGCTACAGCCTTGAATTTACAAGAGCTGAAGTCAAAGATCACACATTTTGGAGGACTTTCATTCGAAAGGTCTTCATAAGTCAGAGACTATTTAATGGCATATATAGCAACAGCAGCAACAAGATGCTGCATATTTGTATTTGTATCATTTTGTACTATTATTTGCAATCTTGAGCACTTCAGTATGGTATGTTAAGCTATGGTGCCAAATGATAGCTATGTCATGAAGGTTTCATGTGACTATATAGATATAATACACATGAAAAAATGCACAATCTTACACCTGGAAAGTTAAAGCCTTTGTATATGTTGTAAGCCAGATTTAGAGAATTGGTTCTATAAATTATCGTTTCCACAATATGTAGTCCCATATAAACCTGTGCCAAAATTTCACTCATGAAAATTTTCTGGGCCAGTTGGGGCTTGGAGGGAAGAGGGCGTGCAAAGTACGCGTCAACAACCTCAAGCACACTTCTCTTTTTCTCTCTACGGTTGTTTGTAGCTCCTGCAGTTGCCCTCTTGGTTGCTCTTCCAGTGCTGTTTCCATCTTCATAACTTAGCCTCAGCCGGTCAGGGAACAAGATGATGGCATGATCTTAAATAATGGTTACATAACTTCATCACTTGGAGCAAATAGATTTCTCAGTGGGAAAGTAAAGGAACATATTGCTGAGACAATTGGGCAGTGCTCCTTATTTGCTGTGCTGTAGTGGCAAGACAGAGAGTGCTGTGAAATGCCTTAGTTTTTCAGGATGCATAGTTTAAGTTGCCAATCTGCATTCAAAGGATGAACAGACAAGAAGATCCACCTTTGTCCTTAGAAATATAGAAATGTATTTCTTCCCTCACCCCCATCTAATGAGCAAACTTGTTTATCTTGCCAATATGTTTTCATTTAAAAACTCACCAAATAGGTAGAAGCACTGAAGAAAGTACTTCCAGTGCAGCTCAGTTCTAACACCTTGCTATATTGCTTCTTTTTTCTCAGTACTGTAATATAATTTTTAAAAAGTGGAGGAGGGAGAAAAATTACTGATCTCTTTTGTAATAGTCTGTAATAAAAAGATATTTTATCCATTGTAAGCATAAATGATTAGCCTTATTTAATATACAGTTTATTATAATTATAGATAATTATAATTAAATTATAATATGGCCCCGTCTAATTATCCTATCTTGCACTGAATCTCTAGGGCTGTACTGTTATGTTGATTTAGTAGAGAGCTCTTGGAAATCACATTTGTTTCACAGAACTCCAATCCCTAGATCTTGGTGAAGAGAATGGATAGGTTTGCCAAACCATTTTAAACATTCTTTGTAGTTGTTATACTGAAGTACTCAAAATTTTGGAAGTATATAGCCCATTGTGAATATGGAACCAAATTGTTCAATGGGTTAATCATAAAATCACAAATGAAGAATTATATGAATAAAGTTCCCTGCTCTAATAGCTTTGAATTTCTTTTTCTAGATGATACCAAGATAGCTCTACACCTAAAAGATAATGGAGGTAAGAGCTACTATTCTTTGTGTTCAGACCACATCAACTGATGTTCTGTAGAACCTCATCTGCCTATCTCAGAGAAATACATTGTACTGGGCCCACAGGACAGCTTGTTATCCACTTATCTGTGCCACAGTATTGTGGAAGGTATTCTAAGAGAGCAGTTGGTACAATAAATTCTTATTATAGCCATAACTCACTGTCACAATTAGCCAAACCTCTTTGAGAGAGATCACTTAATTTTTATGATATGTATCCTGCTTTCTCTGACTGGAAAAACAAAGGTCAATCATGGTACTTATTTGTTAATATTGAAACACCAGTCAAAGACAAATTATCAGATAAAAAGCATTGATTTAAAAAGGACAAAACTGTCAGTCCTGGTCATTGTGACCTTCCTTTATACTCTACACTCTGATCTGAAGACCTGTTAAAGGGCCTATTTCTATTGCTGCCACACTGACATGGACAAAGCTTTGCAAAAGGTTGAATAGAGGACTGTCCTCTTTCTGCTCTTTGGATAGAGCAGTGTATTCTGTAAAGTGGGACACATGGCCTTCACGTTCTGATCTGATGAACTGTTAACGGTCTTGTGTTTCCTGCTACTTCAGTGAGTACTCTATCAGTGTTCCCTTTTCAGTTATCCCTTTTAAGAGTCTCTACTCCAGTTTACCCAAAGTGCTACACCAATACATTTCATTTTCTTACATTAAAAAGCCCTCAGAGCTTCAATGCATAATATAACCAATAATGAAAAAGTGCACATACTTCTTTTTCAGTACAATTTGCAACTGAACCACGCAGTTGCATGAGCGCAAGAAGACAGCCACAGTGCAAATTCCATGTGCTTATACAGTCACAGAGGTTGCAACATCCCCATTTTCAATCTGAATATTCAGGTTCCCAATACAATACATATTTCACAACTCAGCTGCTTCAGTTTTCAGGATCCATCTGCTTAACCAGGCAAAAAATACCATCTTGTTCCACTCTTGGAGTTGTGGAGGAATTTGGGGGCAGGATAATAATGTCAGCCAACCAAGGACACACTTCCTGTACCCTGGGTCCACACTGATGAATCTTGATCACATGCAATGTTTTTGTGGTTTGGAATTTCAGGAACATTGTTGTCCAACACATTCTTTCATTTCCTTTGGACTAGATTGTTTATCCTTTAAGTCCTGTTGTTTGTTTTCTACTAGCATGCATGCATCTGAACTAATTTCCATTCCTACTCCCCTTAGATGGAGCAAATCAACCCTTAGTTGCTTCTCATCTGCACTACATATCTCTAGATTGTATCACAGCAAAGGTCACCATGTTTAACACAGAGTGTGTTTTGATTGCTACTTTCCACACCTAAGAGAAGGGTTTGCAATACAGGAAAACAATATCATGCGGGAGGGGGGATTTTTGAAACCACAGAGTTTTTCCATTTGTCTATGCCTAATATATACAGCTCTCTTCCCAAATCACTGAGAAGGAAATGAAGTAAATACACTAATGGCATATGACAGGGTGGGAAATCTGGTGTTTTCAGATGTTTTGAACTACTGTTTCCAGAATTCCTCACTATTGGCAATACTGGGAGAGGATGACGGAAGTTTCAGTACAGAATGCCTCAAGAACACCAAGTTGTCTACCCTATATGTAGGATCAGATTCTCATTTCTGGTGTTGCCAGATCCTAGCTGTTGCCTGAAGTGTTTGCACAAAATACTTGGTTCAGTTACAGACTGGTAGAGGAGCACAGGAATGCAACACAGAATTGTGTGCCAGCAGTTGCTGGTCTTTCACAATTTCTGCAATCATGCAACTGAGAACACTTGGGTTGATGTTTTTCGATCAGGATAGTAGGAGGGTTTTAAATTTTAGTTTGCCTTTTTTGGTGTGGAACAATTTATGATCAGCCTTTTCTCTAAAGATCTTTACCATTAAAATGGTTTGATTTTAGAAGTAAAAATCTGGGAATGGTTTTATTTAGAATCACCTTGCTGGGCATGTTTTTGCTACCAGAAACAAAAGAATATGGAAGGCAAGCCAGCATTCCAAGGGGCATGGAAGCTAAGTCACTCAGCATGATTTCCCATACAGATATTAACCACCAGTTTTTTGTTCATGATGCATCAGCAATGATGCATGGAATTTTATCGCAGCTCTCAGATTAGGCTGATAAAATTTCTCCAGCTGCCAGCCCCTCTATTTTTCTTTCTTTTTCTACTCACTGGCCATTGTCACACTTTGAGACAGAACAGACAATCCCAAACCAGACAAATAAAGAGCCATTAGATTTTCCAGAATAGATCTTCTATTAAACTCTTATCAAAGTGGGGAAGAAAGCTATGTTTGATCAGTGAGACTTTGTCATTAGCTGTGTTCCTCTGGGGCACAGCAATCAATACCTTATTGGAAACAGCCAAAAGATTCTTAATAATTTCTTTGTACTTTCCACATTGTAACATTTAAGGCCATAATTTATTGCACAATGACTTAATTACATTTGAAATCATACTGCCAACTTAGGTCAAACTGCACTGCACTTTTTATTTTTTAGGTGGAAATCATCTGTCATTAAAAACATGAAACATCTGTAGTAGCACTGAGAAGCTTCTCACAGAAAATTCAACTTTGCTTTTATCTTCTCGTATCTTCTCGTTTCCAGACTGTCACTTCTGATTTACCCAGTTGTGTCATGTCTGTTGAAGCACAGGCTGCATTGCTGTGTGTCCCCAGATCAGAATTTTTGATATTGTAATATTGATTGATAAAACCAACAAAGCAGGAATAACTGGCTATCTCCTGGCAGCCTATTCTTATTTAGAGCAATTCTTCAACTTCAAATATACTTCCCTGACTTTTAAAAATTGAATTGCCAACTTAAAACAGCTTGGGTGTAAAGCTTTGCAAGGTGTAATGTTCTCTGAAAATGTAAAGACTTTGGAAAATAGTGTCTGTGTTGATCCTTATAATTTGGTAGGAGAAAAACAGGTGTTTTGCCTCAAGGGAGCTCCCCAGTTGTAGAAGATACATGTAAATAATGCAACATAGAGTGGCATCCAGCACTGTATGAACAGAAAACAAGCTTCACAGCAGCTTATCTTCCTTCTCCTCTTCCCCCTCCTCCTTTTCCTTCTGTGACCTTCTGTACTTCTCAGAAAGCCTCTCCAGAAAGTCAAGGCACTTCTGAAGATTCTGGCCTGTGACTTATGCGGCTAGAGTGGGTGAGAGGCATTGCCAAAAGTGGGGGTTTTGTATCACTTGCACAGCTTCAGCAACTTTCCCCTCCCATTGTAGTCACTTAAGATGTGGCTCAAAGTCTTCTGTGGTACACACACACACACACACACACACACACACACACACACACAGAGAGAGAGAGAGAGAGAGAGAGAGAGAGAGAGAGAGAGAGAGAGAGAGCGAGCGAGCGAGCGCACTTCTGGAGAACCCTGTACAGATGCTGTAAAGGGGAGAACAGGAAGGGAAAGATTCACTGCCCAAGATAGACTTCAACTGGTATAACACAGCAGCAGTTCCAGGAGAAGGTTCTTTGATGGCTACTTTAGAATTCACTGGATATCCTAAACAGAGATATTTAGAATTTGCAATAAAACAAATTATATTTATTTATGGAATGAAGTTTGTGCATGAAGATTAGCCCTAAAAACAGATGTTAGAATGGATTGCATCCTGCAGCAAGGGTACAGGAGGACTATACCATGTCCACCTTGCCTTACGATTTCATTTTTACAGTCTGACAGCATGGATAACCTTTTACGTGGCACACTGTCAATGAATGCTGAGAAGATGCAGAGAAGGAAGAAAAAAGCAATGATAACATTTGATGTATTGATAACTCTACAGTCAGTGTAAGATCTGGTCCCCAGTCTGTTGACAGTAAAAGTTGCTAGATCTTGCACATGTTGCCCTTCAGTTTCTGAAAAAAGACCAGCTAATGTCAACAATTTCTCAGTATTAGTCCTGACAGCAAGCTCATAATTGTGAGCTAAACATAAATACAAATATACAAATACACGTGCCATAAAATTGCTTTGTTTACTTTCAGGAGCATTCCAGTTCTGGATAGTAAGGATTTGTTCCTCTTTCATTATGAGTGTCCTAGGAAAGTGGAGCTATTTGTTTCTAGGAATGATGAACTGCATTTTTAAAACCTTCCTTCTCTTAACAAAGGGCTTGTTTAAATTCTCTGGCGCAAGAGAAAGTGCTGAAGTCATTCATCTTGGGAAAAAAGCCTCCCAGATTAATAATCTTTTTTGAGGAAATTTAATCTAGTCACACTGATAAATTGCTTTCACTTCAGCTTGTTTCATGGGGTTTGGGAATGTGCTCAAAAGAGTATTGGTGTAAAATGTCTGAATTTACTTGATTTCTTACATCTTCCCCCTCCACTGATCACCATTTTTTAAACTGCATACACTGCTATAGAAAATGTGCAGAATAATGTATAAATTACACAAAGAGAGGATTCAAATGACTATTTGTTATCTGAAGTGATGGGTCTGCTCCTTTTCTTCACCATCCATTTCCTTCACCATCCAAATACCAAACCCTTATTTGACTATGAAAACTGCTTTTAGGTGGAGAGTTGGAAAATGTATGCACTAGACTGTAACAGCCCTGAACCTCCAAAGCCAGGCCTGGGTCTCTAGCTCTTTAAATGGGTTGCTTTGCTTGGCATTAAAGTCTAGTTGCTTAGAACAGAACTTTAGGTAACATTGCTCTGACCATGACAGTCTGCTTTCACGAATCCGGGGAGCTTTCCTTTCCTGATGTCAAGATGGCACAAGGACTAAGCACACTGCCCTTGGATATTCCTTATCAGGTGTTACTTCTATGAGCAAGAGGCAGAACGAGCCTGTGCTTTGATGCTCCAACAGAGATGAAACATCGACCATCCACACAGAAATCCTCCTCATTAGCTCGATATATTTATTTATTTATTATTTTATGTATTTATTTGTTTGTTTATTTAGAATTTTTATATGCCACCCTGTCGCGAAGGCCTCAGGACGGCTTACATAAATAAATAAGAATAATATAAAACATAATACAAATGAATTTCAGATCCACCCTGGCTGCAGATTAAAAACATATATAACCCAATATTAAAAGTTATTAAAATATTGTTGGAATAAAAAGGTCTTAACCTGGCACCAGGCAGACCTCTCTGGGGAGCGCATTCCATAGGTGGGGCACCACCGCAGAGAAAGCCCTCCTCCGGTTACTTTGCCTCCTAATATCTTTCACAGAGGGTTCCCGGAAGAGGGCCTCTGCTACCGATCTTAGGGGGCGGGAGGGCAAATACGGAAGAAGGTGTTCCTTTAGGTATCCAAGTCCTAAGCCATTAAGGGCTTTATAGGTAATAACCAGCACCTTGAATTGAGCCCGGTCTTCGATAGGAAGCCAGTGAAGCTGGTAGAGGACTGGGGTTATATGAGAATAATGCCCAGTCCCTGTCAGCCACCTGACTGCTCTATTATGCACCATCTGAACTATCCAGACTGTCTTCAAGGGCAGCCCCACATAGAGCATGTTACAGAAATCCAACTGGGAAGTAACCAATGCATGTGTCTCATTATCTCTTAGTACCTATGTAAACAATATTACTCATGTACCCATATATTTTAATTATATAGAATGCTGTATCCATTTGTTTCAATGCCATAAAGCTGAAATCTATAAAACCTAGCCACTTTCTTTGTTCACTGGTTCAGAGTCTTTTCAAGGGGGGATTCTGCAGGTTTTTCTGAGCCTTGCAGAAATTCCCACTGTGAGGAGTAAAGTGGCTTGCTGCTAAATGTTATGGAAGTCTAGCTAGCTTGTTTGGTATTGTTGCAATAATAAATAATCTTCTTAGTAAACCTGTCCCCAGACAGGGCAACATAGACAGGTTTTTACTTATTTGGTAGCTGAACAACTTCAGGATGAAACAGATGCAGCATGGCTATTTGTCGAATTCAAATGGTTTCGCATGTAGGTCAAATAAAATACGCCTTCTTATACAGTTTGTTTCTATGGAAATTGTCATCCCAAAGGAATTAACATGCATTCCACAAATGGTTTACCTCTGCAGCAATTCTGTTTACATCAACAAAAGTTAATTCAGTGTCAAAGGTTGTAAGACTCATTTGATTTACAGGTCCTGGGGTAGGGCAGATACTCAACCTGGCAGCGGATTCATTTCACTGATTTTAGGGTGCAATCTGTGCTTTAAGCGCAGATACTTTTGGTGCAACATGCAAGTAGCTAAATAGGTTCCACTTTGGTGGGAAAGGTACGAGCTTTCCATGTGCCTCAGCATTTAATCACACCAGCCACATCACCATGGAAGCATCTTCAGACAACGCTGGCTCTTTGGCTTACAAACAGAGATGAGCACCAGGCCTAGAGTCGAACACAACTAGCACACAAGTGTGGGGGAACCTTCACCTTTTACCATACTAACATTTTAGTTGTGTTATGTTTGGTATTTTTAATATTTTGTATGTTGTGATAACTTTTGCAAGTCATCTTGGGCATTTTTAAAGAGAAAGTTGACTAATGTGGTGGTGATGATATAGGTTCAATTTAGAAAAGCTTCAAAAGAGACTTATAGCAGTCTGGCTCCTTTAAGCACCTGGTTCACTTTGGTCCTCAGACATGGCTCTCTCACTTGAGGCTATCTGGAGTTGCTAGTGATTGAACCTGTGAACTGTCAGGTACAGGATTTGCTTTCCCTGCATGTAACAGAAACACAGTTAACCTGTGCTGCTGTTGTACATGCTGCTTTGTATTAAAAGGCATCATTATTGTTTGCCAGCCTTGTAAGGGCTTACATGGTCTTTATTATAATTACCTTAGATGCAAATGAAAATGTGCAGAGAGAGAAAAGGAATCATGAAGCCAAGGAGTGGCCAGATGTGCTGGCAACAGCAGATAGTTATAAGAGGTTTAGTAAGTCCTTTTCACCTGTGAGAAGGTTCTGAGATCTTTCATCCCTTCTTTTCCATCACTATGTAAAGAAATTGTCAGAAAGTATCTGCCAAGAAAATATGTCACAGTTGACAGGCATCTTCATTCTCTGTGCAAATAGAGTGAAACCAGTTTTACGTTGTTACATTTTAACCTTGAGGCTATCACTTTATGGAACTTCACTTATGTGGATCACCTCTTAACACTCCATGTGTGCATGCACGTGGGCATTTAGCATGTTGATCTCAGTGTTTAATACACCCGCAGTGCTTTTTAAGCAGAGGTTAGAAAAAATATAGACGAGCTGTTAACGTCTATATATAGTCTCAAAGTGACAGGATTCTCATTTACAAAGCTGGATGCTAAACACTGTATGAATCTCAAACTGAATAGGATTAACATAATAGTTCTTACTTTCTGGTTATTGGGTTTTTCACATTTTTAAAACTGGAGTTATCTGCAATGTCTATCATCTGCATCTCTTGTGGACAGAGCTTGTAATGCATCATTGGAGCCTGTAGTGTTTTGTTTGGGGGCTGGTTTCCTGAGCAAGCAGGGAGAGCTGCTTTAAACTGTTGTCTGCAGTTACTCTGCTTACAGCCACAGGACTTCAACCATTATTGGTGGCTGATACCTCTGTGTATTCTCTGTTGAAGACTTGGCAATCCAAATTGAGTAATTGCTTCACCTGGGAATGTATGCTTACTTTAAGCTGTTCTTAAGTCAAAGCATACCTGAGGCGAAGGCTTTTGCCCATAGGCTACATACACAAAATACATATAATTTGATTTTCCTCCTCGTACTTTCCTTGACCATTTTGGTGCAATGGGAACTGCAATGCAATAGGTTCCAAACTGCAAATTTTAAACTACCAAAAATACATTTGTCTACTTACTAATTGCTTCTTGATAAATGTGTATCAGTGAATCTGAAATACACCATCAAAGGGCCACATTCACACTCTAATATTTAATACCTGTAACAAGTTGGGCAGATTCCAAGGCTCTGACTTCTGACTCCAGAATGTTACTCTTGAAACACATGCATCATTTAGGCATCCTCATCAGGGAGACTTGACTGGCTACAACTTCCAACTGATTGTACACTTAGGCTCAAATCCAGGCCCCATTGGCTCTTCATGTTGATATGAATGCTGAGTTTGATGATTTACAATCTTCTTTCATGTTTCTTCTTTTCTATTACCTGGCAATATTGATAAAAAATTCTGTGTAATGTTTTGATTTCTGTTGTAACAGGTTAAACAATCCATTGGGTTTATTTTAACTTCCCTGTTAGAAATTATTCCAGTTGTCAAGACTGTGCAGAACTAGAATTTGATGCTAATGAACTAACTAAATGTGCTAAGCTAAAAGGCAATAGTGCTAATTGGAGTTTTAGTTGAATAGCTTGGGGAGAGATTGTTTGGCTGTAGGATGCACTTGCTTTGATTTGTCCCTTTATCCTTTGTCAACATGTAGCATGGAACACAGTGTTATAAAGCTGAGCAAAACAATGGCTTTCAGCAAAATTTTTCTGTGGTACTTAGACTCTGTTCAGATCAAAAGATTTGAGGGCATTTAACATCCATCTGCTCCACAACAGAAGAAAACTTCGGAAATGCTGTTCCATACGTCCCAGATTTTATTGACACTCCTCAGAAGAATTTGCGACAGCTCTTAACTTGAAGGCTGTGAGGCATTAGGATAACATTCAGCTTTGAAAATAATACTCAATTAATGCATGTCTGTAGGCAAGTGTGAATACATTAGTAGGAAAATGAAAAGTAGATTCATTATGTGGTTTAATTTGGAAATATTAGCATGCCTGCATTACTTTTGGAAAGGTGGATATTAATATTGTTTATTGAGCTAGAAATAATAAAACATCTGGAAATTGTCAACTTGTTGTTTACCATTCTAAGAGAACAGAACACAGGAAAAGAAACACTTCTGCTTGCCAAGGTAAAAGCTTATTGCTCATATGGAAAAATGGGAAAATAAAATGAAATCTCGCTAAGTTCATTCCATACATTTTGCTTGCAGCCTCAACGGATGATAGCGCAGCAGAGAAAAAAGGTGGAACTCTTCACACTGGCTTAATCGTTGGAATTTTCATACTGGTCTTGATTGTAGCAGCAGCGATACTTGTGACAGTTTACATGTACCACCATCCAACATCCACAGCCAGTCTCTTTTTTATTGAGGTGAGTTGCATTTACCATAATATATCAGCAAAACTGCAGTCTATTACCCAGTCAGAAGCTGATCTGTTTCCTGTAAGCCAGAACGCTGAAATATTCTCAGAGAAACACTGGCATTTATCTTTAGCTGTCATGTTGTTATTGTTTTTATTTGATTTACATTTCATGGCCTTTAGCTGGACTGTATGATAACTGGCAGGGAATGTGTCTCAAGCTATTGAAACTGCAGTAAACTAGAGCATGACCTTTTCCCCACACAACATGTTAAGTGACAGGTTTGAGGGTATCACAGACTCCTGTGAATAATCGTTGAGGTCAAGTAGGCTGTCTGCTCTCTGCCTTTGATTCATCTTTTGGCTAAGAGTTTACCACTGTGCCATGATTAATATTGGCTTAATGAATGGAGCAGCAGTGGTAGAAATAATTCATCTGAGTCATGGTACATTTATTGCGTATTCACAATATTATTTCCCTCTCTTGTTTTGTTTAAATATTAAAATATTACAGCTCGTAGAGTTTAAATAGTCCCAATCCAGGCATAGTTATAAATGACCATGTGATGTACATGGTTGCTAGTGTCTGTAGTGACACAATCCAATCAGGTTTAAACAAAAATATGTTCCATGGTTGACTAAGAAATTCTGGAAGTTGTATGGTGTTTTCTGAATAAACTTGCATAAGATTGTACCCTATGAAAGCCTTTGAGTGCTGTTTTATTTAGTATTTTTATACCCTGTTCTCCTTCCAAGAGACAGAGCAAAAAGAGAGAGAGAGAGAGAGAGAAGCCGTGCCAGAAAAGAACATGAGAAAAGATTGTGCCAAAGCCCTGTCTAGTCCAGCATTCTTTGTTCCCAGAGTGGATAAGCAGATGCCTGTGGGACATCACTATCATATAATGGAGAGTGCATAGACAAGCCCTTCTCACCCCAATCACAGGGACCCTTTCCACTTCTGTAACCTTTCTGCATTACTTAAAACCTGAGAAAATTGTGGTTCTAAATTATACAGGAGCTAATATGGGCAGAAGGCACTGCAGAAGTTCAGCCTCCAGTACATCAGGAAGTGAGTTGGGAAAGCTGCATGAACAGCTGTGAGGACACGCAGGCAGGGTCAGGGGCAACAGGTCCATCCCTGTTGTCCCCCTTGCAAGATGAGGGAAGAAGGACTGAGCTGGGCTACTAGTTGGCATACCTCCATTTGGACATGCCCATCTTGATTGGAATTCCATTTTAAGAGTTTGAATATCATTGTGACATAGAAGTAGAGATAGCTGATTGTATTTTATAAAAAGAAACATAATATAGTTGATATTATTGACAAAGTCTTTATTTTACTATTATAATTTTAGATTTATTATTGCTGTTGTGCCCTGATTAATTTATGGACAGTTGTGATTATTTATTAATGGGTTTCTAGTCCTTTTAGTCGTTTTTATTGTTTTAATTTTATTGCTGGATTTTTATCGTTTTATACATATGTATTTTAAATTGTACACCATCCTGAGCCCCCTGTGGGTTAGAGGGCAATAGGAAATCAAATTGATAAATTTGATCTCTAACCAAATTAATTACAGATAAATTTCAATATGAGAATGCAATCATAAACACAGTTATATAGAATTTAGTCCAGCTAAACCGAGTGGCACTTTAATCTGAGTAGTTTTGTGTTACTGGATTGTTCAGTACACATGCTTGCCCACACACCCACAAACATATATTTTGGCATGAGGTCTAAGGTGTGGCCCAAGAGGCTGCCCAGAGGGAAAAACGGCTCCTGCTTCTCTTAAAGTTTTCCACCCTGCTTTACAGTTTGCCTAGAAGTTCCACGATTACAGTCCCTTCCTCAAAAAAAAAAAAAAGGGGGGGGGAGCTATAGTATCAATTACTTTCAGTGTTTTTTGCTTCCATCCTACTTCTATCATTTCTCTGTTCTTTAATCAATATTGCAATGAAGCAAGTTACCATGAGAACATACCTGGTAACACTGTAGTAAAAGTAATCTAGGGAAGGTCTTCATAATTTGCATTTTTCTGCATGTAGTCAGTGGCAAAAGATTAATATAATGGAAATCTTTTGTGATAAACTGCTGTATTTCTGGCTTTTCAAGCCTCACAACATGCAGATTTTTTTCAGATCCCTTACTGCGTGCACTGATAGATAAAACAACAGGTCTCTGAAATTATCTGCACTGCAGACATTATGAGCTTATTGTAGAATAAGCTCATAGAAGGAAATGGCAAATAAAAAGAGATTATTTAGAGTTTCAGAAAACTAACAGTGAATCAGAGACTACACACCACTCCTAGCTGCTGTAACTGAATGCCTGTAATAGGAGAAATATGTTTCATTATTGGTGTACATAAACATCATGCAGCTCCTTGTAAGGCGTAACAATTTGCTTTTCAGTTTTTTTCAAGAGCCGGGGGAAGCAGCTATTAAATGCCAATATCCCCACATTCTTGCGTTTGTGCAATATGTGAAAATCATTATACCCCAGTGAGCACATCTGCTCAGTCATTCTACAACCAATCTTCTTCATCACTTATCCCCTAATCTTTATCACATTGAGTCATGTGCTTAACAGTTCACCCCCCACCCTTGTTTTTTTCACACCATTCAGGGCATTTTCCCCTTCTTCCTGAATTGGGTTATTCACTTTTCCTGTCAATTTCTACAAAAAGAAACAGAGTGAGAGAATGATAAAGAGAGCTGAAAAGATTGTTGTCTTTGTTTTGCTTTTAAGTAATACTGTTTTGCTGCAATCCTGTACTCATGTATGCAGGAGCAAGTTCCTTTGTACCTGATCGGCATTACTTCTGAGTAGACAAGTGCAAAATTGCATTATTAAATAATTCCGGAGATTTTTCAGCAGATGCTCTAAGTTAAATCACCATTTCCTCTCCAGGTAGTGATGTGTTTGCTTGCTATTATGCTAGTAGTGAGTATATGACAAGATGAGAAAGAAAATGCATTTTTTGAAATGGCAAGTGAGAAAGAGTTCATTTCTGTTTCACAGGTATCTAGACATTTAAACATATTGAAAGATATAGCAAATTGAGCAAAAATGTTCAGTCTCAGGAAAGGGCTTGACAGAACCTTAAGAACTAGACAAAAGGAAACTAACTGATCTTAATATATCCTGTAGGTGTTCCAGTTACTTCCTAAACTGCAGTAATATGGAATGATATTTTTAGCTGCCAAGGGCTCTGGGTGGTTCAGCTACAAACTCTCTCCTTCCAAAAATATGAGCATATGAAATTGCTTTATACTGAGAAAAATATTGTCCTGTCTAGACCAGTGTTGGCTACTCTAGCTAAAAGTAATTTTGTAAAGCAGTTTTTGCCGGCCTGGTGCCCTCCAGTGTTTTGAATGTGATGGTATGACTGTCAGCTCCCATCAGTCCCCACCAGCATGTCCAATGATCAGGAATGCTGGGAATTGTACTCCAAAGCATCTGAAGGGAGCAGGTTGGGGAATGTTTCAGACAGTGGTCCTTTGCCCTACTAAAAATGTGACTGATTTCATTGGCCAAGTTTTAGTTCTTTTTACCTGTTTAGGATCTGAATTTCACACGACAAGAGCTAATGGAAGACCAGTAAATATGGCCTGAAATTTTACCTTCTTAGTTTTATAGATACTAGTATGAGTAGAAATAATGTCAGATTCATTAAAGTGCTCCTAGACAACTGAAGTTAGGTGGATGAGCTGCAAATTTTTGGATGATTTTGCATTTTTGTTTTATCAATCAGTAACTGAAATATTTTACATTTTGGTCCGGGTCAGCAGCCCAGTCAATTGAACTAATAACAATTGTCAATTCTGGGTTGCTGAGGGGTACATTTAGGCAAGACTTTTCCTTTTTCTTACCTTATTCATAATGGGGAACTTGACAAGCAACATTTAAAAGGTAGATATTTCTGATCTCAGCACATGAGATGAACCTGTGCAGAAAGCGACTTGAGTAATTCTTTTCTTGTGCATTAATTGTGGTCTATGCTATATCCCTTCTTACATAAACTGATTGTTTTTCTCTCTGCTTTGCCATGCCAGAAAAGAGATTAAGGCTGCAATTCTGTAAATAAGTCCTATAGAATGCAGTGGGACTTATTTGTGAGAAGACATGTGTAGGGTAACACTGAAAGCAAATAATGTGTTTTTCCTTGGCAACTTTGCTGAAAATCTAGAATGAGTTTGACTTTATGTTGCTTTATAGGATTCATAGATTTATGGCCGTTCAAAAGTTTGCTATTCCATTTCTAGTCGAAGCATGTTTCCCCCATTCCCCTGTTTATTTCCCTTGTACATTCTAGCCCAGCAAATTAGCATTGCTAGTCTGCTTCAGAAGAAAAGTAAGGAGCAGACATGTGATACCTTAATGAATATCTTATTTTGGCATGAGACAGCTTTATCAGATAAATGAAGTAAACAGAGTGGATGGATACAGCAGGTGGAAAGACACTTTTACAGGGAATAACAAAAGATCCATTACATGTCCATCAGTTGAAGTCAGAGAGCATGCTAAATGGTTACGGCCTATTGATATTAGTGAGAACCACTGTGCACTTGTAACAACTACATAATTCTACACCTACCTGGTTTCTATTCCAGAAGTGTGTGCATGTTATTTCGTGACAGCAAGTACAAAACAGAGGCTTCAGTTTAGAAAAATGAAGCACAATTTAGTCCCTTTGAAATCAACAGGATAATTTACTCACGACTAACTATTCAGTGGGGCTTATGCATGACTCTGATCAGCCTTACACATCTCTGATCAGGGCGATTGCCAATAACAATCAACAGATCTATTGTGGCATAATCATTTGCAGACTAGATGTACATTTTTAAGATACAGGATTGTATGTCTGTGTGGTATCCTGAGCAAATCAAATGATCTATCAGTTTATGTGTCAAAAGTTAACCCAGGAAGGAAGAAAATATCCTTATCCACACATTACAAAAGTAAAAAGAAATGAACAGAGCATTTTTTTCATAAAATAACTCTAAATAAAGTGGTCTTGGATATTTTAGAGGCTTTAAAAGAATAGAGCATCCCTACTTTTCCAGACTATTACCATAAAATTTGCAACACTCGGAGTAATAGGTTTAGACTTCCTTCTCAACAAATAACTCATGATCCACTTAACAGTCTGTCCTGGGATTTTATCCAGGAAAGGTTATAACAAGGAATTCCAAGGGGCTACATACATGGAGCAATAGTGAAAAAAAGGAGGAACATCCTCTGTAATCCCTGGCCTATGTAAACACAGCTGTTTCTAGTAGGTAGTTCTGTTATATTAACCCTGACAGTTTCCAGTGAAAGTCTAGTAGCTGTAAAAGCTAACCCTGAAGGTGTAGAATGATTTTAAAAAATCAAACTAAGAACCTGAAGCCAAGGCAGGCATACCAAGGAGAGTTCATGCCATTCTCAGCACTAACCCAGTCTTCATGCAGGCTTATGTTTTGGATCCTTTGTTTGAGAGCAGATTTAGCCTGCAAAAAGTAAAGTCTTCACAATTTAATTTCTCAAAACCACACTGATTAATGTCTTCCTGCATTCCGTGATCAACAGTCTGCATTCAAAGCATTGTTCTCAAGTATCTCCTGCAAACAGTTTCAGCCCCCTGTGATGTTCCAGGAATTGCAGTTTGATCCAGTAATTCACATAATTTACTCCTGTTGAGGAGCAGTTCTATGAATGTATAGGCAGAACCAAGACCCACTACTCCTGGCATTGCTGGCTGGGCAATGTTGGGACTTGTGGTACTTTTTCTGTCTAAACATTACATTCTTAAGATTATGCCCTTAGATATTGTTCTCATATTGGCCTCTAGGCTTACCCAGATCAATGGAGGGACAGGTAAAAAGATAACACAGAGATTGTTTTTGTACGGTCTCCCAAACATGAAGGAAATGTGTACCCCAGACAGCCATATTAATTATTTCCAGAGCATAGACCACCAGCTTTATGCCTCATGCCCTAAAAATAAAATAAAAAAATAAAATAAAATGGCATCTTCCTCAATGTACTGTCTCTTTTTGATACAGTCAAGATCAAGATGCAGTTTATGGGAAAAGAGTCCTAGGATATTTACAGCTAAATGTTTCAACCAATGGTCTAATTGACATTGGCAAACTCACAGTCAGTTACTAAAAGCTACTTTCTGAAATTTAACATAATTGTTAATTTATCTGGCTTGCAGTAACAGTCATACTTTTTCAAAAGATGTCGAAAACCAACCAGGCCATGCAATAAAAGAACACTCTGATCTAGTGAAAGGAGAGCTGTCAGGAAAGAACTTTTTCCATACAATGTCCAATATCATGTTTTTCATGTACCTTTTAGGAAAGGAGACAGTAGGCACCCTTAAGTGACCTCCTTGGAAACTCACTAGGATCAATAAGTTCCTCTCCTATTCATGTTTCCCATGCCTGAACATTGGCATTACTGTAAAACTTTGGTTTCGCTTAATTTATGTCCTTTAGATATTTTGAATGTCAGCTCCCATCAGTACCAACCATCATGGCTATTGGTCAGGAATTCTGTCATGCAAAACATCTGGAGATCATCTGGTTGGGGAAGGTGCTAAACAATGAAATGCAGAAGACACTGATCCATCATTAATATGCTGAGGCCCCTTCATAGGGCCCAATGCAGAAGGCAAGTCCAGAAAGCCCACATACAGAATAAAATTTCTTGGCCATTGCATATTGCACCATAGTGAATCAAATAGAATCAAAAGTGAAGCAGTGATCTGTCAATGCCTGTATTGTGATGTTATTCAAAGCAAAGCAGATTCCTGGCTTCTGTAGTACGAATCGCAACCAATTTCTAGCATGCTGCAAACAGAAAAATGAAAGGTGGTAGAAGGCAGAGTGCCATGTAAAGAACTGAATTAAAAGAGCTTAGCAAGCCAGTCACAATACTTACTACAGGAATACCTTATAATGCTGCATATAGTTTAGGCAAGACAGTATCCTATCCTGTTTTCTATTTCAATCTGCTTTTCATTTCTTTGCACAATCATGGGGATTTTGCTGTATTGTACCCAGTGACTGTGGCTTGATGTGTAATCACAGTATAAAACTTAAAATTAGTTTGTAAATTAGTTTGTGCCATATTTATACCAAAGTCCATGTGTATCTTCTACATTACTAATTTCCAGAATTCTCTTATTGATTAGCATTTCACATCATTTGTACTAAATCATTGCCTAGTAAGCACATTTTTCTAGTATCCGGGAATAGGTACTTCCATATTGCCTAGCTTGTTAAGCCTCTTCCCTTCTCTCCTTTTCACTGAAGCCCTTGGCATCTTCTGAAAAGCTGTACCTGAACATTAGCTAATTCTTCAAAACAATATTCCATGCAATACAAAGGCTGCAGTCAGAAAGCAAAAATGGCACCCGGAAAGCACCCCCAAAAACCATATGTGAGGAAAAAATATTTTCTACATATGTGTGTGTTCTTTGTAACCCAGCCTTTTCCTGCTGGATTAAATGAATTCTAAGTTCTGGTGTAAACTAATGGAGTACTGCTATGTCCACTTAACTGAGGAGTAAGTCCAACAAATTCAGTCTCTGAATAGATACATATCACAGGGGTGCTCAGAAGGGAGATCAAGTTATGCTGGTAGATCTCTGGGTGCTTTGCAACAGATCAGCAAGAGTTTCTTAGTCCCAGTTTTTAAATAAGAGTTCATTTCTGAAGCTGACAAATTATTTGGCTCAGAGTGTGAGAAATCCACTTCAGTCGGCACAGTTGATCCGATGTTAAATTGGATCCAACTCCATATTTTACACAGCTCTAACCCAATAATCAAACTTTCTTGTTTTGTGTCTGCTGTTCTAGCGCCGCCCAAGCAGGTGGCCTGCCATGAAATTTCGGAGAGGATCTGGACACCCTGCGTATGCTGAAGTGGAACCTGTTGGTGAGAAAGAAGGCTTCATTGTATCGGAGCAGTGCTAGGATTTTCTGTGGCAGATCACCAGTACTGGCCTACAGGTGTAAGACGTTTACTCTGCCACTCATTAAAGAAAAGCTGCTGTGGTCCAAGAGAAAATGGATTGCTGGATAAACTTTCCCAGGAAGAAAGAAGGATCTATGATGACCAGATACCTTTTTCACAGGGATATTTTTTTCCAGAGCAAATTGGCACACAATGTTTCAGTCGCCTCCTTCACCTCCTTCAAGCACCTGCAGTATGAGAATGATGGACACAACTGCCATACTCTTGGTTTAGGTGTAGGAGGTGCCGTGCAGTCCAGGAAATGTATCCAAAGCTTTAGTTCAGAACAGTGCTTCCCTATCTGATTCAGCACAGAGGTGTGGTGTTGGTTTTTAAATGGTTACCAAGGGTTTCCTTTAATACCCAGAGGTAATGCTCCTCATTGACAAGGCTGCTGGTGAGATCAATCTGATGCAGATAACATAGCTTAGTAATTTTCTATACTCCCATGAGTAATACAGATTTTGATTTTCCCATCCCATAGACATTATATATATATATGGACATAGCAGAGTGTTTCTTGTATTCTGTAGGCTTATATCCCTTGAACTGTGATTCCTTTACTATTACTACAACTATAGTTCTATAGTTGACAAAGCACTAGAGAGTTTCATTTTTGAAGAAAAGGAAAGCAGGAAGGTTTTCACTATGGTGAAATTGGGCTGCCCAACTGGAGTATATAGTGAAATTGGACTAATATTAAGTTTCAATGTTCACAAAGGTGAGACTGAGGCTGCAGTGCTATGCACCTTTCCTTGGCAGTCAGTCCCTTGGGACTCAGTGGGACTCATTTCTGAGGGACTGTGCATCAGATTTCAGAGATGCTGGTTATGCCCCTGAAAGGAGGACTGAAGCAGACATGATGGAAGCATCTGGCTGATGCTGGGGCTGGCAGGGGGACCAACCATGGTAAGCAGGCAACAGGGCGGGGAAACATTTCCATTTATAACTCTTGTCATTCTGTCACAGGCCTCTGAAGAATAGCATCATCAGTTCCAATGCACCCCTCAACTAAATAAATATTAAAAATGTTGCAATCTCTGCTGATTCATTTAGAAATATTGTTTAATGCACATAGTAGCTGCATAAATATATATATAAATATATATATATGAAATATATTTTTGTTATAGCTAACACAAGGCAGGCTCTTGTGACTGTTAAGAGTGCATTTTTTGCCATCCAGACGATGGAAATAGATTGCATTGCTGCACATTTCCACTGAGTTGTAAAATAATCCTTAATATTAAAATAAATTTTATGTCATGCAGAGAACGTGGTCCATTTAACTGCCCCTTGGAGCCACGGTTTCTTTAACAACTAAACCCTTTCCTTCTCTGAGTAGGGAAAATTACTACTTTTTTAGAAACTCCCAGTGACATATTCCTTTGGACGGAAAGGGGGAGTTATACCTTGAGTTACTAAAACTTCTATTAAGATTTTATACCAACGTGGCATTGTGGACTTTGCCAATCTCGTTTTCACATAACGTATGAGCAGAGGCAATAGAATCATGGTAAGGTACAAGTTGCAGTTTCAGATTCCAAGTTCAGATACCTATTCAGGTACCAGCTTTATAACATAGTTCTCTACATTTTCATGTCAATACTTGTATGTTCTGCTTTTTAAAGACAACACCACCATGATTTTAACTTGTTATTTCCTTCAGTAAATAATACAATACCGTATTTTCTGTATTCATTATTCTGTTTAATCCATTTGCTGTTTGTTCACAAGCCATCAGGAATGAGCATAGACATACCTGAGATCAGTGGCATCATTCTAAAACTCTGAAAAGTCCAGCAGTTATCCTTTTCACTATAAGTGTGTCTTATCATTTCTTGACAGCAAACCAGAACCTTAAAGTGTTTGAGGAGTTCCCATTCCCTTCTGAGAGAGAGTAAAAGCTCCGTATAGATGACTGTGTTGCACTGCATGGTGCAGTATTTCCCTCTCCTAGAAGAGAATCAGAAGTTCCTTTGTGCTCAAGACCTAGTAATTAAGCTTTCCTAGTGCCTGCCAGATGCTTGGGTCCACAGTCCCCATCAACCTTGACCATTAGCCGTGTAACCATGGGTGATGGAAGTTATAGTCCAAACTTTAGAGAGGGCTGAGAAAGGTTCCACTAGGCTTTCACAGGAAAGTTAGTAGATAACGGGATGGATCCTTATAGATCCAATAAAATGGGTGGAAGTCCAACTTGGTTTCAGACATCACATTAACCTCATACTGAAGTACTAGTAAAATTTTTGGTGGTATTCCAGCATCATGACTGATAGATTCATACTTACCTAGATTATTTTACCACCACTGTAGTAAAAAGTCCCTCTTCCACTCCACATATGTAACACCGTACCAAATTTTATGCCTAGTCCACTTTCTCTATGAACATTTGCAGAACTCACATGAAAGATATATCTAAAACATGCAAATACACTTTTATAAGTAACACACAGTTAATATCTACTATTATTTGTAGAAAGAGACAGGTAGCATGGGAATAAGAAGTTGGGGTGTGCATCCATTTAAAAAATGAAAAACAAATGAGCCCTGTTGGTTTCATTCCTTTGAATAATGAAAACAAATGGGATTTCATTTGTTTCATTGTCTATGTGTTTTCATTCATTTTCAGTTGTTTTGCATTAGAGGTGCAGTTCTGCATTTGCTGCCAGGACTGAAAAACAGTATATAATTCACATGGCGAAAGGAAGAGCAAACACAAAATGAATAGATTGGACATTCACTGTTGCTTTCTGACCAATAATGTATCTGGTCACCCACCACCTTCCTGAAGCCATCTAGTTTAGCTGCTTTATCAGTGGGTGGAAGCAGAGGCCCACAATTTAGTGTGCTACTGAATTAGACTCAGTGTGATGTCAAAGCAGTACCAGTGTGGTTCACTTTAGTTTGCAATCAGACTGTGTGTACTGTTGGGTGAAACCACAGGGCAACACACTTTGTTCCAGCACAGCAATGTGAGAAGCAGAGTACCGTATTTTTCTCTCTATAAGACACACCTGACACACCTAGTTTTAGAGGAGGAAAACAAGAAAAAAATATTCTGAATCAAATGGTTTACTAAACCATTACAGAATACAGTAATACCGTATTTCAACCTTGTAAAGAGAACAGCAGTCAACAGTGGCATTAAGAACCATCATCACTGTCATTAACAAAAGAGAGACTTTAAAGTTCGAGTACTCTTCTAGTTTTCGTTGAACCCATAGAACTCATCATCACTAGAGTCAGAATTTATGAAGCTCTGTTGCTCACAATCACTGACATCACTTTCTTAGTCGGTAGTGGAATTATTGAAGGCATCCACAATCTACACCAGTTATACAAGCGCTGCTGCAGACAATTCAATAACAAATCTAAAAAAGCCAGTAATGCCCACGCTGCCCTACCAGTAACTAATAGAAAAAACATCTGACAAAAAAAATGAGATATTGTACGGTAAATCAAACACACAGCGAACTAAGTAGCCTTTGAAGAATAAACTTCATACACAAAGGTAATGCTGTTCAAATATCCACTGATCCTAAAAAAAAAAAAAAATGTGTCTGATCAACTAACAGATAACTGATCCATGGAAAGCTTCCTGATAATCACAGGCACATTTCCCCATGGGCTTCATTAAAAGATGGGTTGCCATTTGAAAAAACACACCAACCTGTGATTAACAGCTCTCACCTGCGCCGGAGGAGGGGGGGGTCGGAGCAGGGCGCGCCGAGCGCGTGCTGGCCAGGTGGTGCCAAGTGGGGCTGGCAGCGTGCCAGCAGTGGTCTTCCGGGCGGCGCAGCAGCAGTGGCAGGTCTTCCCGGGTGGTGGGGGTGAGCAGTCCCCGGGCGGTGAGGGGTGAGCAGTTCATCTCTCTGTGTGGCCGGCAGGCTAAAAAAAAGTGCAGCTGGCAAGTTAAAGCCCGCGGCTCCTCCTCCGCACCGCTCCCCCTGAGAGGCACAGCTCTCACCTGCGCCGGAGGAGGGGGGGGGGGGTCGGAGCAGGGCGCGCCAAGCACATGCTGGCCAGGTGGTGCCACATGGTGCAGGCGGGCCGGCAGCATCCCAGGCATCAGGCACACACACATTTGCTCTATAAGACGCACAGACATTTCCCCTTTTGAGGGGGGAAAAAGTGTGTTTTATAGAGTGAAAAAATATGGTAAATTTTATTTTTTAAATAATGTTTGGGGATGGAGAACTCTGGGAATTCCATTTTAGTTAAAAACTGACAGAATTCCTTAGTGATTCCTTTCTGGCAACTGGGAATGAGGTACACAAGTTGTTTATATTTTAGTTTTTGGAGAGCCTGAAATCTATTTCCACTTAAGATTTGAACAAATTATAATTAGTGCAAATTGTTTTTTGCTAGTGTGCACTTGCACATTAGTGGAAGTCCAAACTGAAAAGCCGTGCCTCATCAATATCTTGGAAGTGTAGTTTGTAAAAGTGCAGAGACTTGGATAGAACAAGGCTACAAAGATTTTATTTTTTTTCTCCCTCTGACAGTGGTCAAGTGAAAACAAAGTTGTGACTCAAACTTTGCTTGTGAAAAAGTACGAATTTTTTATATCTATATCTATATCTATATATATATCACTCCCTTCGTGATGAGATAGTCTTGTCTTTACATGTGAACCTGACATTTCTCTGTCACCATCACCTTTCCTACCTTTTTTGTGAGTTCCTAGACATTCAGGAAAGTGTGAGCATCCCCTGTTCTTGCAAACTGACACTTTGCCAGCTGTCCAAAAGAAGGCTTTATGTTAAAATAGGGTTTTAGATAAGTCTAAGCAGGATTTTTTTGAGAGGGACATACACAGTCCCAAAATCTGTATATACCCCTATAAAAGAAAAAAAATGCATTGCATTCTCAAAAATCCTTTTTCTTTTAAATCTTTCTTTTGACAGAAGATAGCTGTCAAAACATATTCCCAGGATTCGAATACTTTTTCACTTTACTAAGCACCTAGAGGTTCATGCTTTACTAAGCACCTGCAGGTTCAGAAAAAGAAGAAGGGTGCTGAGAACTGTCAGCCCTACATATAAAAATTAAGAGGAACTTGCCACAAAAAGGGAGACAGTTTTCAAAACGAAGCAATAGATCTATTTGTGGACTTGTTCTGTCAATGTTCTTAGATTGTGCCTCCTGCATTATCCAGGACTCTGATGAGGCAGGCCTCACATTTTGGACCCTTGTAAATGTGCAAGTGCATAATTGCAAATGACCCCACATCAAAAAAAAAGCAAATATTTCAAGGACAAGCAGCGTACTACCTGTAAAAATAGGGGATGATTTAATTTAATGAAGTTAATACCAACAGTGGGAAAGTAATGGGATCAAGAAAGCTGAACCAGAAAATCCTGTTGGCTTTTAACCCCCAAATGGAATTCTCACTCATCTCTAATAAATGCATATCCTGAAGGAAACGATTTAGCCATAACGTCTAAGATAAAAGAGATGTCTGTCTGCCTACCAATGCCATAGCACCAAGACTGTGATGCCTAGGAACAAATCTGCCGCAAGGCAGCCAACCTCAGGCAAACCGGGTGCTCGGACCCCTCTCCCTTTGTGTCTGCAAATGTTCATTCATGTGGCAGTGAGTACTATATAAACCTAGAAAATTTTGACAAGTATCAAACAAGTTGGCGAGTATCAAAGGAAAACAAGGCTTATAAAGCAGTTAGAAATTATTTGCTTACCCTTTATTTTGCACAATGAGCAGATATATATCATGTTTTATTCACTGATTGCAGGAGCGCTACTTCTACTAAAATTTTGTGTCACTCCAGGGTCTCATTTTTGGCCAACAAAGAGCAGTTGTTATGCATCATTCTTCCCTACTAATGCTTTTCTTTACACTGGTGTTGATTTGTATAATTTAAGGGCCTTTGGCAGTAAAAAGTGAGCACAAGAGATCAGATTGAACAATTTGGACAGAAGCCTTTGTGAGGTTCTCTTGCCGTGCTTTTGAGTAGCTTCAGTTAACTTCTACAGGTGTGCAAGAATCCGGCAGTGGATTGTGCCTTTAGGCTATAGTGTAGCAGCAATCCTATGTATGTCTACTCAGAAGTAAGTCCCATTGAATTCAATGGCACATACTCCTTGGTAAGTAGTATAGGGCTGCAGCCTAAGAAAATACATCTCAGTTATGGTGGTGTAGCATGAATTGTGAACTCATTTGGGACAGGAAATTTCAAGGCAAAGTAGGTACACATTTACTTGTTTTAAAACATGAGATCTTTCAAAAGGTGTATATTGCTTTATGCAGCAGTTTAACAGCAAATAAAATCAGATTAAGGGAGATGAGGTTGCTCTTAATTAAATGTGCATATCTTCAGAAAGTTGAATAGTTGATAGCTTGCATGTAAGGCCTGGGCATTGATCCTATTGTGGTAGATTGAATACAGTGGGTTGGATACAGGAACTTTCTTCTGTGGATGGAAGTGCTGTGCTCACAGAAGATGCCGCTGCCTGATTTTTGGCATCCTTCTCAATGCCACAACTCAGGTCATTTGGCAGAATTCTTCTGTAACAGTTTTCATTTAACCTATATCATTATCAGCAAACTGCTTTCCCAAGCCAAGACCTCTCAGTTTGAAGCCTGAAAGATCACACCTACCAGATGCAAATAACAAAACAAAAAGAAGGAACAGTATGTTCAGGTGTCTTTTCATTACCTCATCTC